GCCCTGCCAGCTTTGGACTCTGCCCTCAGACACTTGAGGCTTTCTGTTGTCTAAGCCAATCATGATGAAGGAATTCATTCAAGAAACACATTAAACTCAATAGATCTGCTGTGTGTAGCCGTCTTTCAAGAGCAGATTTCTCTGTGTTCTCTGCTGGCTATTTGCCATGCCCCTGGGGACCTTCCTCATTCATGTACAGTATACTTATAGCTTGCTATTTGGGTGGTTGAAGCTCTGAATTTGGGTCTCATTCTTTTTGTGATTTGCTCACTGCCAGAATTTCCCCTTTAAATTTTCTGATGTTTTTTTCAGTCCTGGATTCTGACCACTGGCACCTTTAGTTGATGAGGCTGCTCCTTTTCTTCCACTGTTTTTTGTGGTCATAGATGTGAGGGTTAGGCAACATTATCAGATCAACACACTACAAAGTCACACTTTTTACCCCTTCTCATTATCATTTTTCCAGATTAAACTTTCCTTGGCGTTTTTCTATTTTTGGATGCCTTCTCATATCTTTAGTTTTGTTGTTGTTTTAAATTTAGACTTTATCATTATCCTCTGTGGGTGATTCAAGCGACCACTTCCCTACTACTCCACCATTATCTGAAGTTGTCCCTTCCCCCACCAAAAACAAAAACAAAACACACACACAAAACAAAACAAAACAAAACAAACAAAAAAACAAAAAAAAACCTCCACACAGATAACTTTCTTTTAAAAAATTTTCATCTAGGACTTCATGGGCAGCATGTGACTCAATCTGCTCAGTCCAAACATCGTATCTCCCAAATAATAGTGATGGGTTAAGCCTTAACCATTAAGGAATGAGCACATGATGCAAATCAGTCTAATGAAAGACTAAGAGGTGCCATTCTGGAACTTTTACTCCCACAAACCTGGGAGAAGGCCTGTCTGAGGACGTAGAGCCCAGAGAAGAAAGAGAAATTTGGTTCTGGCAAACTTTCAGTCAGACTTTTCCAAAAGCTTTTTGCATTGTGTAAGCCAGTACATTCATCTTTTTACTAATTTTGAATTCGGTGTTTTGTATAACCTAACTAATACACCCTCCTTTATCTAATCCCTGTCTACTTCAAATTTAGGCGCAACTATTTTCACTTTGTTCTGTTACCTTTTGCCTCCCTGACCTTTAGCTTCTTTAGATACAAACATTCTTTCCGAACTAAGGACCTCAGATAAGCTCTCCCTCTGTAGGTTCTTCCTACGCTGATTCTTTCTTATGCTCAGTTTCAGACATTAATTAGAGAAGTCTCCACTGTTACCTGTTTTTGCACCTAGTAATTTTATTCATTGTACTCTTCACAATTTATAATTATACAGTTGGTGGTGTTTTGTTTATTTGTCTATTTATCTACATTTAAAGAGCAGGGACCTTTTATCATTATATTAATATCTTCAGTAAAGTCTGGCACAAAAATAAATGCCCAGGAAACAATTGTTGAAGGAGAAAAGGAAGGAGAGTTGAATTTGCAGGACTAAGACTTGAAAATTAGATGATAAATGAACTCTAATAAGTTTTCTAGGCCATTATATAGCTTTGCTCTGGGGGTAACAAATGACAACTTCCTGTTTGGATCGAAGGCCTTTGGAATCAGTCCCAGGGGTATGCCTCCTCTGCTCTTAATGAGTAGTGAATCGATTCATTCATCAGATATTTATTGAATGTTTATTATGTATGAGACAATTCTTTAGGTATTTGGGATTTATTACTTAGTCCTGTATATGACAGTACCAGTTTACAATATTGAAATACTAACTTGTTTTATACACTGTGGTATAAAAAGTAGTCATACTATTTAAATTATGGTCAAATTATGAGGTTCAGGAGGTCAAGGATTATTATTCCTCCTTATATGCCAATTACTAAACATAGCACCTGATATTTAATAGGTAGATTCATGAAATGTCTGAATTACTGAACCTGTTGAATACATAATAATAATTCTGGGAGATTTTTACATGGAATCAGTATCTGTGTTTTTTAAAAAATGGTAGAAAAAACAATACTAAAATTACATACAGTGTTTCAGAGCCTTTAAATAAGAAAAATTTTTTTGTATTACTGAGTATAGATTCTTGCTAAAAAGGCAAAATATACTCAAAATTGTGAGATGTAGTATGAAATTATTTCCCTTCTATTGTTCAATTCTATCCATATATAGGAGAGAAAGTCTCTAATGTGTATTTTTGATAATGTATGGTATTGCTATAATTATTATGAGGTCTTAGCTTCTTTACTAAATTCAAAAGTGAATCTTTCTCACCAACAAGGAATAGTCCTATAATGGAGATTCCTTTGCTACTCAGGTGCTTTCTATGCTTTAACTGTCTTCATCATTAATTTTATAAGAAAGAATAACAAAATAGACTAAGGTTGCCTCTTTATAATGTTGTCAGCTACAGATGTAATTCTTTATACAAGACTATACTTATTTTTTATTTGCATTTATGGTAAATAAACTTATTTTGTTCAAATAGTCTACTCAGTTTTTTCTAAGATGTCACTCTTTTTAGTGTTAAAAAAAGAACTTTTGTCATCAAATCTGTATGATTAGTTTTTAGTTATTGCTGCAATTAGGTATTGCTCCTGTTTTCTATGAGTCTCCAAGGTTTAGCTCATTTATTTCTTCACAATACAATTAATGTTTTAACTATGCATCTAAGAATACTACTTACTGCCAATTCATTAGCTGTTGTAAAAGAATTTCTATAAGTTTCTGACCCTTTATAATTTTAGTCTGTTATGAATTTTTATATTTTGTGTAGCTTTGACTTTAACCCTCATTTGTTTGTGTTAAATCACTGCTATATATATATTTGGCAAATATAATTTAAGAATTATTCTTTTTTAAAATGTAAATGACAAATGATTTTAAAATCCCCAAACTGGATTGTTCAATTCAACTTGCTTATCAAGAAAATGATGTGGAAAAAGCGGTAACTGATTGTAGTATTTTTAAAAATATATATTTTATTGATTTTGTACAGAGAGGAAGGGAGAGAGATAGAGAGTTAGAAACATCAGTGAGAGAGAGTCATCGATCAGCTGCCTCCTGCACACCCCCTACTGGGGACATGCCCGCAACCAAGGGACATGCCCTTAACCAGAATCGAACCTGGGACCCGTCAGTCCCCAAGCCGACGCTCTATCCACTGAGCCAAACCGATTTCGGCTGTAGTATGTTTTTAAATAAAAAATTTGATTAAGGACATCAGATTCAAGAAGTTGAATTGATTGGTGAGAACCAAGGACTTTATATGCAGTCACTAAATACTGGTTCTTAAGTTAACATTATAGGCTCATTTTTCTTTTTTTAGAGATTCTAGCTGGATTTCTGAGAATTTGCTAAACATATCGATACATTCATTCTCATTCTCTCTCTCTCTCTCTCTGTCTCTCTCTGCCTATCACAGCTCTTAAAGGTAGTAATATTTTATAACCTTTTTCCCCCAATAGCATGCCCTGTTTTGTTTTAACTAAACTTAAATGCTAATGCAGTCTGTAACTCTGATAGCACATAAGTATCAAATTCACAAATTTTCCGTATAGGCTTTGATGAACAAAAACAAAGATTGGCTAACTTAGAAAAGATACCCAAGTCTGTGTTTTCCTTATCCTCCCCCCTGACAGTTCCTCTGTGGGCCTTCATCATAAAATACTTTGAGGATCTTCCCTGTGGGATCTGCTTAGTGCTTTGTTATAATGGAACCTTGACCTCCAATCACAACTTTTTATCTTACAGGATGATATGAAACATACTTGTGACTTGATACAATTTATTTAAATCTTACTACTTCAATAAAAGATATAGTGTTATTTCAGAGCATATCATTGCCTTTTGATGACTTCTTTTTGGTTTTCAAAGAATAAAAAAGCAAAGAGAAGGGAGATATCTTTAATAGCCAAATGTTAAAAAAATAATTACTTTTAACACATTGACTCCAAACATATTGTGTTAAAACTACTTACTTTCAACTGCAGAGCCAGGTCTGATATAAACAGGAGGTAGTAAGAAAACCATATTCTTATTTTAACACAGAATACAGTACCTTTCACATGGTAAATTCTTAAAATAGCCTGGAGTATGGCATTTAATATTGTTTTCTTAGTATCAAGCAAAGGAAAGTTAATTATTTCCTGGAAGAAAAAGGAAGATTTCCAAGTATTAACAGATTTTCTGCCAACTCCCTGCAAAGTATGAAAAAAAAAAAAAAGGTCATGTATTTGATTGTATAAGACACCAAACTGGAATTATGACACTTACTACTAGATTCTTTTTAGGGTAAAAGTGGAGATTGAAGGTTACACATTAGAATTGAATATGATATTTATATCACAAAGTTGATAGACACCTTTTAGTGCATTTAGAAATAATCTAAGAAGTTTATTCATTAAATCTTCATGTTGTATTCTACATTGCTTTATCAGGCTAGAATATAATCCCCTTTTTGATATCAAAGAAGTATTGGATAGAGAATATGGCTTAAATTCTGGCACATGGAAACTAAAATCTCTTTGCCTAGTTTTATGATTTGAGTAAGATCTCGGTGACAGATTCTGGACTTATTTCTTTGGTTTTGAACCTTATATTAATAAGATGTTTTTATTTTCCTTATGAGTGAAAACATTTTAATACTCTATTAATGTGCATTTATTAACAAAAAGTTCACTCACTTCTGCAGATCAAACCACTATAACTAGTGAAAATGATTTGCTGAAAGCATCATTTCTCAAATTCAAAGTAAATAAGGTTATATCATTTATTTTAATTACATTTACTAGAGTACTTTCATGTTATAGAAACATCTTAATCTGTAACATCTTACTCATCTCGTTGATTGATAGAAATGCAAAAGAAAATGCAAGATACTAGTAAAAATATAAGAAAGTATAAACTTCTATCTAATTTATGAATGCTAAAGTCAGATAAATCTCATCTGTTGCTATAGTCCAACTTTAAGTGTGTTCTTTTCCCTCCCAGGACATTTATTCAGAGCAGCTGGGGATCAACCGTTTAACCTGTCCACAGTGTCGAGTGCCTTCCCAATGGTCAGCCACCCAGTCTTTGGTCTACATTCAGCCAGCTCAGGGCATTCAGAATTTGGTGGTTTGGGGACACTTGGTACACCCACAGCCTTAGCCGCACATCCCCAACTAGCATCTTTTCCAGGTAAACATCTGTTACAAACAGTGTTCAAGGAAAGAAGGAAAGCTTGAAAATGTTCAAGCAGTAATTTATTAAATTGAACAAAAGAAATAGTCTAATGACTGGTATATTAAAACTCTTGTGCAAGAATTTACTCAATCCTATTTATCATGTGCAAAAAAACAAAACAAAACACACACACACAAAAAAAACAACAGCAAACAAAACCCACACTATGTGTGCTACATGGCAATGCAGTTAGATACTTCAGTGTTTAGCCAGGGTAACAGGCATCTGCACCAAAAGTGAATAATTAAGCCAAGTTTTCCTTGTGTTTTTGATGAATTTTTCCCCCCTTTCCAGTATAAGGTACTGGAAAACTAAAGTCTAGTGCATATAATAAACATCTCTGGACTGTTACTTTGAGTTCTCACTTCTCTGCACTTTGTCAGGAAGATGAGCTTGGCTCTTGAATTTCTATCTATTCTTTTATAATCAATCAAAACAACTCTAGTTTTGCACCACATATGTGGCAGAAAGACCAGAATTATTCCAAATTCTACAGATTATGACAATTTGTCATAGTAAGACACCACATAAAGTTTAACTTACACAAACATGCTATAATTTGTCTTGTTATATTATTTTGAAAGACTAAACTTTAAATGTTTCCAGTGATTAATTTTACTTTAATAAATTTTAGTAAGGGTTGTTTAAAAATTAGCATAAATATAGACACAAATTAACCAGAATTTAAATCAGGCTTTGCTGTGTTTTAGCTGTGTGACTTTGAACAAGCAATCTAACCTCTCAGCCATAGTTTCCTCATCTGAGACATGAGGTTATCATCATAATAACAGTACCTGTGAAGATGAAAGCAGATAAACCATGTTAGTGCTGAGTGAAGCATTTGGCACACATAATCTGTACATAATTAATAATTATCATTAGTTTTTTCTCTTGCCCACTTTAATGGGTAATACATTGTGAAATGCTTCTATATATATATATGATGGAAAGATGGTTAATTGTGTATTTCAAGTACTGTCTTTTGAATCATATTATTCCTTTCATTCAGTTGTCTGAAAGAGGGAATTGTGGGGAGGGGTAATGTGAGTAAAAAGTTAAAGTTTTAAATTAAGCCTTAACATTGGTTTAAAAAATACTAATAGAAATTTAATTCAGTCAGTTTCTAGAATGGTTGTTTAGCAAGATAAGCATTCAACAGATATTTTCTGAAATATAAGATTGCTAAATAAAAATCAAAATAGGTGATATTAATATAGACAGTTACTGATATCTTAAATTTGTTTCATGGTTTATTGGAGTATTACTTTTGAGCATTTTTAAAAGAACTATGTAATTACTTTATTATTAAAATACAAAACCTTCTGCACTGGAATGATGGTTAACAAGGCTAAAGAATTTCTTCTCTGGACTTCAACTCTGCTAGTACTTTCTACTGTACAGAAAATACTTAATTTCCATAACCTACATAAACTTTTCATTAATTTAGTATATTCTGTACACTAGGCCAAGCAGTTGGAAATACACCATCATAGTATATGTTATGTTGTTTATAGTTTTTAGGAGATGGATTAACAGATAGTAATAAGACACAGTCTTTAATGATAAAAGTATGACTGTTGAAGAATACTAGTTTGCCAAACAAACAGAGACTATGCCTAGTTATAGAAGACATGGTTAAGTTGTAGGTTTGATATAATAACAAATTTAAATTCTCTATAGTTAGTTTTATTCAAAAGGGAATCAAGATGTCAGATTTTTGAAATGACCTAATAAATGAAGACACACAGGGAAGGAATTACTAGGAATTTTAAATGAGTAAGAATTTGTATTTTCAGTTTGTATGGACATGTAAATTATTCTTCATTTCAAATGATTAAATCAACAGGTGCTGTATTTAATGGACATTAATATAATAAAATTTTTTATTTAATATTGAAATTGTATTTCATGGTAATTTCTTTAAAATATACAGTTTTTGGTTATTATATTTTTATATTCCCATGAATTTTGTGAAGTACCTGCCTCTCAAGTACGAAAGATTTTAAAATTTTACTATATATCTTCTAGGTTCTAATTGAGATTTAGCATAGCCTCCAAAATGTTGGAATCTCAGTTAAATATGATTAATGAATGTTGCTGTACACTGTTACCTCCTTTGAATACATTTAGAAATCATGTACTGGTTTATGTAATCCTTATTTTGTACATAACACATTATAAATAAGCTAGTTTGTGACTAAATTATTTTTTATTTTCTTCAATTTGGAAGATAAATAGCTGTTACTTAACAAAAAATTGCTACTTTCTATGAAATATTAGACATCTGTATGTTTGTAATCAGCAGCCCTGTAATTTTTATCTTTTTATTCGATTGACCTTATTTACTTTTTTTTTTTTTACTTGCGGTATCAACTTATTTATTGCACACATTTTCCAGTTGTCTTTTTTTCTAGTCCCTATTGACATTCTAAAGTACATTTTTGTGTTTTTCCTCAGTTCATGTCTAAATATTCGAATCTTACTACACTTTGATTACCTTACCAATTTTCTGGTTGTTTACAAAGTCTCTGCATTAAACTGTAATGTTTTAATTATAGACTCTATATTATTATAAATAATATAAATATCTTTGAAAAGCCTCAGTCCCTTTTTGTCAGCTATGTGGAACCTAGTTTTCAAATAACAATAGATTCCAACTGTGCTGATATAAACCCAAAATACACAGTTTTTCTTCCTATCTAAATACACTTCTTTCATCTAAACAGTGAATAAATGATTAATGCCTTTGTGTAGTTATTCTTGGTTGAGTTCCCATCATTCAGGCCCTGCTGAATATACATTGGTGTCATTTCACCAGCAGTGCCTTCCTGCCTTCCCGCAGTGCAGAAGAATAGCTTTTGCAGCTTTTTGCTTATACTGGTTTTTCTTTTTAGACCTTTCAGAATGGTAGCCACCGTGAACATGTCACTTCTTTTTTTTTTTTAACCAGGGTTGCCATTAGATAATGAAGGTGCACATCACTTTACATCCTATTTTTAATGGAAAGTGATATTCCTAGAAAAGCTTTAAAGACCATGTAATATAGTATACTGGTAGTATTGAAAATTTCCCATGCTGTATTGTTGAGGTTTTTCTCTAATTTCCTTATGGATATTATAATCAAGGAAAAATATTTGCATATATCTTGGAAAATTAGCCTCGAAGGTTATAACTAATTTGGTGATCTAGCAGATTAGTTAATTGGAAAAGATTGTTTCTGAAATTTTAGAATGGAGAATACAAGACTTTCCTTTGGATTATTTTCAAATATTTTTCTTAATATTTACCCTTTCTTGAAAAACATATTCTATAAAATTTGGCTTCTTTCCATTTTTAGAAGTTTTAATTGAGAGCTACAATTTGAACATTTAAATTACATTTTTGATGGCTTTCTACATTTAGTCATTTTGCAGTGATAAAACAATCACTATTATTTGTAAACTTATGAGAAAGTATTACCAAAGTTTACGATTTTTTTCATTAACTTTAAGGGGAGAAACTTTATAAATCTTTTATATTTTAATATGAATTACTTATTTTGAGATCTTCTTTGAGCTCTTTTTATTCTTAGCTTCCCCACCCTCAGTCCCCCCAAGAAAAAGAAAAGAAAGAATAAGACTTATTGATTTCTGTTTTTATGTTTCTGTTTGAGTATAGAGCTTTTATGTTTCTGTTTGAGTATAGAACTTTTTCTCTTTTTCTTTCAAAAATGCATTTGAGGTATACTGGATAACAATAGTCTTTGTATTACTATTTAAACAACCTGATTTATCAGAGCCATATCTATGATGTATGTAATTTGAGGAAAATTTTAACACTAATCTTAAGTCCTAAGGCATTAAAATAGGTTGGTATGATATTAAATATTTTTTTCTTTTACCGTGGTAAAAGTCATCAGAGTCAAATAAGACTTCAATATCCAAATTTTTCATTTTATTTTTAAAACCTTTGTTCTTTGTAAACTTGAACTCAAGGAGGCTGCTGAGTGAAGATTCCTGGATACTAACTTTTTGTTTTTTTCTTAATATATTTTTATTGATTTCAGAGAGGAAGGAAGAGGGGGAGAGAGAGAGAGAAACATCTACGATGAGAGAGAATCATCGATCAGCTGTCTCCTGCACATGCCATACTGGGGATTGAGCCAGCAACCCAGGGCATGTGCCATGATCAGGAAACGAGCCGTGACCTCCTGGTTCACAGGTCAATGCTCAACCACTGGATACTATCTTAATGAGAGGAATAATGAGTGTATAACTTCTAAGTAGCAAACTTTCAGTTAGATTCAGCAATTCTGTTCCACATTGAAACTTAACCATTTTTTAGGAATAAAATATAAAAAGCATGGTTACATTAACTTCGAAAGTTAACTCAGATATTTTTGCTTGTCTGTCTGGTGTTTGGTTTTGAGGTGCAGAATGGTGGCGAACAGCAGATGTTCATACTCGTACAGGGGCAGCCTTCTTTCCACCGTTACTGGGAATTCCACCACTGTTTGCTCCTCCAGCCCAGAATCATGATTCTTCTTCATTCCATTCAAGGACTGCAGGAAAAAGTAGTCGAAATGGTCCTGAAAAAGGTATGAACTTAAATGAAGTATTTAAAACCCTCTGTTTCAATATGTATTATCAGTAGAGTTCAAGTTTAATAACATTTATAAAGCATTGTGCGGAACACTTTCACATTGCATTGCTTAATTCTTATAATAACTCATAGGATTGGAAATATTCTCATTTTGCCACCAACATTAAATATCATTTAGTGGGTTTTTTTGCAACCAAAGTTAAATAAGTTATTTAAGGGAATGTTGCTTACAGATTGATGTAGCATAGCAGGATTTGAACCCAGGTCTTCTAACTCCAAACCTGCTGCTTTTGCCTTTGTATCTCACTAGCTTTATTATGTAACCCACTATAGTATTTACTCCTTCTGTAATTAAGCTTTAAGTTGATTAAAACTAATATCCTAGTATTCTTCTTTTTTAATGATTACTGACATTTCTGTTGTTCATGGTTGTTAGACTGTCATTTACAAATTATAGTAACATTTTAGATGGTTTATTATCATCTTTCTTTTTGTTTGAGGTAGTATTTGGGGGAGTTTGCTCTGAAAGGATGAGTGTTTGTATTTAATGATCTTTCTTGATATTTTAAAAAAATGAAGTGAAAACCATTTTAAAGTGAATGATTCAGTGGCACTTAATATATTCACATCATTGTGCAACCATCACCTCCATGTAATTTCAAAACATTTTCATCATCCCAAAAGGATTTATGTGTTGTGAATATCTCATAGATCTTATCATACAAATTGGGACCTTTTGGGTGTGGTGCTTTCATTTTGCATTATGTTTTCAAGAATCATCACATTATAGCATATAGCATTACTTCATTCTTTTATGTGGTTGAATGAATTCTATTGTGTAAACATATTTTTTTCCCCTCAAGGTGTAAATGGGTCAATAAATGGAAACAGTACTTCATCTGTGTCTGGTATCAATACATCTGTACTATCCACTACTGCTTCCAGTTCCGTTGGACAAACTAAAAGTATAAGCTCAGGTGGAGGAAATCGAAAATGTAATCAGGATCAAAACAAAAACCAGCCTTTGGATGCTAGAGCTGACAAAATCAAGGATAAAGTAAGTTATTCTTTGAAGGACAAATTTATAACAGATCTATATGTAGCATTCCAACGGTCAAACCACCAGTGTCTATGGAATACTTTATTATGAGTTACCAAGTTCTATTTTTGTGGATATTTACTTATATGGTGTAGTACTAATATCATATATCTCAAAAATTAAAACTGCCAGCACCAGTAAATAATGAAAATAATAATAGTAGATAAGATTTATTAAGAACCTACCAGTTTGTACAAATTGCTTTCATGTAATATCTATTTCAATCTTTCCATACCTCTAATGAGGTAGGTACTATTATTAAAATGGGGAAACAAATCCCTAAAATAGTGGGTTAGTTAGTGGTCAGGCAGGTTGACGCCAGAGCCCATGCTTTAGGAAACCAAAAGCAAATAAGAAAAGCTTTTTTAATAGTAATTTTCAAATATAGAGTGGTCAGAATAGCATAATTACCTTATGTACCCATTATCCAGGCTCAGTAATTTTCACCTTGAGGCCAACTTTATTTTGCTGTACAGATAATCAATTTAATGCCTCTCAGTTCTAAATTCACCCTCTTCTTAAAAATGTGATTGGTTGATTTCAGAGAGGAAAGGAGAGAGAGAGAGAGAGAGAAACATCAGTGATGAGAGAGAATCATTGATCCGCCGTCTCCTACACATCCTTTACTGGGGATCACGCCACAACCTGGGCTCGTGCCCTGACCGGAAATCGAACCGTGACTAACTGGTTCATAGGTCAAAGCTCAACCACAGAGTCATACTGGCCAGGCTGCTTTCTGTTGTTTTGACAGTTGGCACAGTGTTAAATCATGTTAGAAGGCAGTCCCAGAAAAGTCCTGGAATGGAAGGGTTTTCTGTTCTGGTTCCAGTGTTTTTTTCCTCTTCTTATGCTGTGGCTGCTGGTTGTATGTAGGAGACTAAGCAGTGCACATCATACAGTGAGTTTCACTGGCATCCCAGCCGACAGCTCATTCCCTAGACCCCCCATTGTCGGCCTGTGGTTTCATTTTCTGCAGTTCCATTTACTTGTGGTCAGCCACCATCTGAAAATATTAAATGGAAATCACAGAAATAAACCATTCATAAGTGTTAAATTGCATGCTGTTCTGAGTAGTGTGACAAAATCTCAAACTATTTCACTTCATCCCCCTGGGATGTGAATTACTCCTTTGCCCGGTGTATCCAGGCTGTATACGCTACCTACCTGTTAGTCACTGGGTGTCCATCTCGGTTATCAGACTGACTGTTTTGGTATTGCAGTGCCTGTGCTCAAGTAACCTTTATGTTACTTAATAATGATCCCAAAGTGCAAGAGTGGTGATGCTGACAATTTGGATATACCAAAGAGAAGCTGTAAAATGCTTTCTTTAAATGAAAAGGTGGAAGATCTTGACATAAGAAATGAAATAAAAAATATTCTGAGGTTGCTAAGATCTACAGTAAAATGAATCTTTTATTAGTGAAATTGTGAAGCATGACAAAGAAATTTGTACTAGTTTTAGCCTTGTACTTCAACTATAAAAGTTATGGCCATAGCGTGTGGTAAGTGCTTAGTTAAGATAGAAAAAACATTAAATTATTTGGTGGAAGACCAGAACAGAAAATGTGATCCAATTGACAGCATTGTGTTGTACCAGATAGTGAACCTATACAGAGACTCCAGCAAAGGATCCCCTGAAATGAGTGACACCAAGCCATATATTGCAAGTAAGGAATGGTCACACAGATTCAAGAATAGGTTTGGACTGAAAAATATAAAATTATCAGGGGGGGGGGGGGAAGGGAGAGAAAGAGAGAGAGAGAGAGAACACATTTGCATATTATAATTGATCTATTTTATTATTAGTTACTAGAGGCCTGGTGCACAAATTCTTGCATGGGTGGGGTCCCTCAGCGTGGCCTACAGAGAAGGGCCCCAGCTTATGCCCCCAGCCTCACAATCTCACAGCCCCACCTGGCACCCTGCCTTGGCCTGGTGCCTACCCTCACCTGCTCCACCATCCTGCCTACAGGGTGATCTATCAGGGCCGAGCCCCCCTCCTAGCTCCCTCAGCACCGGGTAGCCGGGCGGCAGCTTCACCCCCCACCGCCGCCACTGGTCACAGTCTGTGGGATGATTGGCAGGGTGATCAGGTCCCTGCTTGCACTCACCTTGATCTGGCGCCACCCGCTCACCTGCTCCACCATCCCACTGTGGACCCGCTCTTGTGGCCCATCGGGGCCAGTAGTGTCCATTGCTGCCTGCTGCCAGCACCACATCATCAACACCCTCCATGTTCCATGCTGCCCCCTGGTGGTCAGTGCACATCATAGCGAGCAGTTGAACTCCCAGTCAAATGACTGCCCAAGGGGGCAATTTGTATATTAGGCTTTTATATAGGATTGTTGATAATCTCTTAATGTGCCTTAATTTATAAATGTTATCATAGGATTGTTGATAATCTCTTAATGTGCCTTAATTTATAAATGTTATCATAGGATTGTTGATAATCTCTTAATGTGCCTTAATTTATAAATGTTATCATATATATATATATATATATATATATATATATATATATATATGAAAAAACATCATATATATAGGGTTTAGTGCTATCTGTGGTTTTAGTCAACCATCCACTGGGGGTTGGATCATATCCCATGTGGATAAGGGAGGACCACTGTAGTACGTTTTGAGGAATGCCACTAGGTGGCTTTCCAACTAATTTTATTGGTGCCCCAGCTAGCAGGTTCCCAATAATTTTTTTTTTGGCATTCACTTTTACCTGTGGTTCCTCAGTGAGCTCCTCTGCTATCCAGTGGGCAGCAGCCACATCCTCTCCAACAGAGTTTGAAGCTAAGTCTTAGTAATGAGGACTTGGAGGAGAGAGGCCCCTCTTCCAAGTTTATCTTAGAGTAGTCTACCATAGCTCTACAAGAAATGGCAATTCCATTCATTTTCCATCCCAGTATTCTTTTTATTTATTTATTTTTATTGATTTTAGATAAGGAGAGAAATATTGATTTGTTGTTCCATTTGTTTATGCACTCATTAGTTGCTTCTTGTATGTGCCCTTACCAGAGATTGAACCCCAACTTGGGTGTATCGGGACAATGCTCTAACCAACTGAGCTATCCACCTAGGGCCTATTCCAATATTCTTTTCCCCTCAGAGTTGTTCATCTTCTGTTACTAATTCTTTATGATAAAATTTCCCTGTTCAAGTTGTTAATGTGGTTCTGCCTCCTGACTAGACCTCATCTATACTAATAAGAGGGTAATATGCTAATTAGAACAGGTCAACCGGACATCTTCTGGATGTCGGCTTTCTTCTGGACAAAGCCACGGTGGCAGGGGCCAAGGCAGAGGCAGTTAGGGGTGAGATCAGGCCGGCACAGGAAGCAAGCAATTAGGGGTGCAATCAGGCCAGCATGGGGGAACAAGCAGTTAGGTGTGAGATCAGGTCAGCCTGAGGGAGAAAACAGAGCACCTTTGGATCATATTTGGTCTGGCATGAGTTATAGTAGTAAGTAGGTTGTTGAAGTAAAATGGAGATGAAGGGCATTGTTGCTAAAGAAGAAGATCCTATAGTTTTTACCCAGTAATTTTCAATTTTAAGAAGCTTTAAAAAAATTCTTTCTCTAGTCCTCTTCTGATATAGTTTGAAAAGATATTCTCCAGTTAATTTTGATAATCCCTCCTGGGTTATATGATTACATCATTTTGTACTGCTCACTTAATATCCTTAAGTCCAATTCCCTCATTTAGTCTGCATGTTTATTTAGAATAAAAATATTTTAAATTAGACAAATTAAATCACAAACTAAAATATACACACAACCTGTTGGTAAAAAATAAAAATAAATAAATTTCAAGTTTGAATAAGTTCCGCTCGTGCTGCCATGCACAGCAGCCAAAACATAAATGGTTTGATGATTTTAAACAGATAGTCACTCCCTCTAATAGTTCCTTATCCCGCTTAGAATTAATCCTTGCCATGGCCTACAAGAAAGACCCTGTGTAGTAAGACCCTGCCAGTCTATCCTGCCATATCTCCTATGTCCCTGATTCCCTGGTTCACACAAGTCTAGTTGGCTTCCCCATTCTGTGAACACATCAAACTCATTTCCTTTGCTGCTTCCCATCTTGAAGCATTCTTTGCTTGTTCTCCATTTAGGTCTCAGCTCAGAAAGGTTCTATCTGTATCTAAATCTTTACCCCACCCCCAACACACACTATCTATCCAGTTATCCTGTTTTTTAGTCGTGATATTTATCTCTAAAACCCCTTATGTATATGTTTGTTGATTCTCTACAGTCAGATCCCACTAGGGCTGAGTTGTTGTTTCTTTGTCACACCCCTCCATCCCCAGAGACTAAAGCATTCCTAGTACATAAGAGCCTTGAATATGTGTTAGTTTTTTATTGGAATAAATGAGTATACGGTGAAATGAAAGTTCAAGGAGAGGGTTCTGAAATGCTTTTCCAGATTGAATGGGGAGTGGGTGGGTAGGGGCTTAATAAGCTCTTCTTTGATCATTTTTTGGTGAACCTAAGAAGACTCATTTTTTAAAAATGTTTAAATGGCATAACAGACATACTACCTAATTATTTGTGAATGAAAAAGAATTAATTAACTACACACACACACTAATAGCAATGAAGGAGATGAAATTGGTGATATTGACACTCATTTTTCTTTTTTTACTAATATCTGGACTTGCAGCTCATATCTCCTTTGTTTTTTTGTTTTTTAAGTAGGGTCTAAATTTGTTACCTTATAAAAAAAAAAAAAGCATAGACTCTGCACTTGGCCAGAGTATGCTATGCAAAACCGCCTGCATCAGAATCACATTACGGGTGTGTTAAAGATCCTTGTGTGCTGTTTAGAATTGGGACCCAGGAATCTGTGGGTTGCAGCCAGTTTTATTAGTGAGCATTGCACCATAAAGATTTAGGGTCTGCATCTCTAATTCATTCTTGCCATCTATAATAATAAAAGCATAATATGCTAATTAGACTAGACAGCTGAACAGCCTTCCAGATGTCCTTCTGAACGACCTTCCAGACCAAACCGGGGCTGTCAGGGAAGCCTGGGACCCAGGTACCAGAGGGAAGCCAGGGGAAGGAAGGCCTACTCTTGCATGAATTTCATGCATTGGGCCTCTAGTCCTATCTAATAAGAGTAATATGCCGATTGACCATCACTCAAACACACAATATGGCTGCCCCCATGTGGTCAAAGATCCTGCCCCCATGTGGACACAAGATGGTTACCACAAGTTGGCCAGCATGGGAGGGCAGTTAGGAGGGACCAGGCCTGCAAGGGAGGGCAGTTGAGTGTGATCAAGCCTTCAGGAGAGGGCAGTTAGAGGTGACCAGGCTAGCAGAGGAGGGATGTTGGGGGCAAACAGGCTGGCTAGGGAGCAGTTAGTCATCAATCAGGCTGGCAGGAGAGTGGTTAAGGGGTGATCAGGTTGGCAGGCAAGTGAGCAGTTGGGAGCCAGTAGTCCTGGATTGTGAGAGGGATGTTTGACTGCCTGTTTAGGCCCAATCCCATCATGATTGGGTATAAATGGGCAATTGGACATCCCTCAAGGGGTCCCAGATCGGAAAGGGTGCAAGGTGGGCTGAGGGACAACCCCCTACCCCCGTGCACAAATTTTGTGCACCAGGCCTCTAGTCTTTAAATAAAAAAACCACACAGATGACTTGAGCATGAAATAGGAGTTTATTTCTTCCTATTAAATCACTATCCTCATTTCTTTCCTTTCATAGCTAGCCCCTACTGAAACCAAAAAGTGATAACTTCAATTTAGATTCCTTATGATTTTCATAGTCTTACTATAGTGCTTAGAAACACACAATATATTTAGTTTGCAAGGAAGTGTTTCTCCAACAAATGGTAGGCTTAATATTCCTATATTATTATTGTTTCCCTTTCATCTCTACTTTGGTTCCTTGTCATTTTCTGCTTTACTGTGAGAGAAGATAGATCAGGGAATGGTGGCAACTGTTAGTTGATTTATTGAAATTGTGTCTCTGGGGGAAGCATTACAGTTGCTAGTTTGGAGTGTGACAATACCATTGAAAGCAAAATAGAACAGCAGGAGTGAATCTCTTTACTTCTACACATTTTACTCGATTTGAATCAAATTTCAGAAGGAACAAAGGAAGAGTATAGATTTGTAATCTGTAACTATGGCTTAAACTTGGCTTCCTGGTAAAGAGGTATATGATTATCTTTCCTTCACCAGGCCTAGTAGTCATGAAAGACCCTATTTCTATTAAGACCATAGCTTCCATATTTATAAGATCATAGCTTTTGTCATTGGTTGATTACCTTTTCTATATTTTGTTCTTTATCTATATCAGCAAACACTATTGAAGTATTCCTAAGTAACTTTGGATTGTACTCAATCTATTGCTCTGTCATTTCAGTATTTCTCCCTGCAGTCTTTCTTTGACAGAATTTTAACTTTTCCAAAGTTATATAGTTATTTAGTTATAATTCACATAATGATTTTTCCTCTTTTTATCCACTACTATTGTCTATCTTTAAACCCAAAACTTTTCTTCCAAGTTTAGATTTCCTTTTTCCTATAGAATCTTAAATGTTCCAGAAATTAATATTTTTATTATATTTTTCTTTTTTATGTGAAATATGAAAAATTAAAATGTTGATCTTAATGTGGCTTGTAAGTTCTTTGCTACCTATCTTATCTTCTCTCTACCACTTACTGCTGTATGGAATTATTTGCTTTTATATTAATCATCTGTCTACTACCACCACCACCATTACCACTAGAATGTAAGTTTCTTGAAGACAATTACAACCAATATTTATTTTATTGATTTTTTACAGAGAGGAAGGGAGAGGGATAGAGTGCTAGAAACATCAATGGGAGAGAAACATCTACCAGCTGCCTCCTGCACACCCCCTACCCGGGATGTGCCTGCAACCCAAGGTACATGCCCTTGACCAGAATCGAACCTGGAATCTTTTAGTCCGCAGACCGATGCTCTCTCCACTGAGCCAAACTGGTTTCGGCTGAAGGCAATTACTCTTATCTTAAGCATCAGGCATATTATATGTAAATATTTGGCTACTAACTCACTACCTGCATAAAGAAAGAAGACTAAAGCCAAATATGGAACTTCCGTGCATATAACCCTTATAATTGGAATTATTACTTGTAAATTATTCTTGTATTTTATAATATACTATATTGAGATTTCCCATATCCTGAACATGTCAGAGCTTGTATATTTTATTGGAGAATTCCTGTCACATAAGTTAATTTGATTAGTTTGTTGAACTATTACCCTTATAACATGTGATTTTTTCCTATTTCCTAAAGTGACATTTTGAGATTGAAAATATCATTTGAAAATTAAAAGAGCTTACCTCTTACTGAAACTTGAATTTTTTAAAAAATCTTGTTTTTATCCAGAAACCACGGAAGAAAGCTATGGAAAGTTCTAGCAACAGTGATAGTGATTCAGGCACATCATCAGACACCTCAAGTGAAGGCATTAGTAGTAGTGATTCAGATGATCTAGAGGAAGATGAAGAAGAAGATCAAAGTATTGAAGAAACTGAAGATGATGAATCTGATTCAGAAAGTGAAGCACAACATAAAAATAACAACCAGGTATAAATAGTTGCCTTAGCCTAATATACACAGTATTTGTATTTAGGGATTAATTTATTTATCCTGACTCTCAAAGTCTGTAAAGTTTAATTTTAATCATTGCCTTTAGTTCTCACTTTTTAAAAAATTTGATTTTAGCAAGAGAGAAAGGAGAGTCAGAGAGAAGAGAAACACACATAGAGAGAAACATTGATTTATTGTTTCACTTATGCATTCATTGGTTGATTTCTTATACGTGCCTTGATTGGGGATTGTACCTGCAACCTTGGTGTATTGGGACGATACTCTGACCAACTGAGATACCAGCCAGGGCAAATTCTTACTTTTACAAAAGACAGAATAGGAGATGGAGAAATATTTTAAAGAGATATTTACTGTATTTTTCCTGCGCTTTATATATCTATCACAGGTCACTAGCAACACTTCTTAAAGTTATTTTTTTTTCCTGACTGGTGTTCTTTCTTTTAATAGATGTTAAGCTCTGCCTTTTAACTTTTATTTACAGGTGCTATTACATGGTATTTCAGACCCAAAAGCAGATGGACAGAAAGCAACTGAAAAAGCCCAGGAAAAAAGAATACACCAGCCATTACCTCTTGTGTCTGAATCCCAGACCCACTCATCATTCCAATCCCAGCAGAAGCAGCCTCAGGTTTTGTCACAGCAGCTTCCATTTATTTTCCAAAGCTCTCAGGCAAAGGAGGAATCTGTGACCAAACACACAAGTGTAATACAGTCTACGGGATTGGTGTCCAATGTGAAACCTCTATCTTTGGTAAATCAAGCCAAAAAGGAAACTTATATGAAACTCACAGTTCCTTCTCCTGATGTACTTAAAGCAGGGAATAAAAATACCTCTGAAGAATCTAGTCTTTTGACCAGTGAATTGCGATCTAAACGGGTGAGTTAAAAATTATTTATAGAAGAATTTTATTGTTAGGAAAAGAGCTTTTATATAATCTTATAATATGCAGGTTTTAAATTAAATTCTTCTCTTATTTTTATACTTTTTCTAGTCACCAGGAATCAAATATGCACATCAGCAAACTAAATTTCTCTGACTTTACATTTGTATGTACATCTGCTTACTATATTTTTGGCAACACAATCAAGTCATTTCCCCCCTGGTTTAATGATTTAACAGTAAGGAGAGAAATATGCTTGAATCAGACGTACTTAATGATCACTTTTGTTTAAAATATAATGTTCTTTTCTTCTAATGTCAATATATTTTTAAAGAAATGAATTATTGAGTCATTTGCCTTTATAGTTCTATAATTTAGCTATTTTAAGTGTAAAAATTCTTCTTAAAGACTCATTTTCCTTTGCCATTCTTAGCAAATTATATAAAATACAAAATATTTTGAGTAATTTTTATTTACACAAACACCAGAACCACTCATCAGAAATTTTTTCATATTGATTTTCTTCCTTTGATTTTATTTACTATACGGTCTACATTCATATGTTCAGTAAAATTCTAGTAATTAATTGATCAATACTTTACATTTTAGAATGAACTCAGAGTAGAGGAAAAATAGTATTTTGTTTGAACACTGGTTTTGATTATAAAAATTATCATTGCACTTAGTAAATATGAGCTAGCACTCGTAGAGCATGTACTGTTTGCCAGTGATTGTTTTAAGTGCTGAACTTGCACTTATTCATTGAATACTAATATCTGTTAGTGCTACTAACATTGTTATGACCAGTAAGAGATGATCAAATTGAGACACTTAGAACTTTAACTTTCCCAAGATCACACTGCTAGGTAGCGATGGAGCTGGAATTCAAATCTAGGATTATGGCCCGGGAGTTCTTTTCTTAACCACTATAATATTCTGCCTTTCTTTAAAAAGTCACATTGTTCTAGTCCATTGACTCTTGTTTTTCATCAAGAACAGGGTCAAACATAAATGACTTCAACAAATAGGCTTTTTTTTGAGAATGTAAACAGGTAATTCTCAGGTGTACATTAGGACTTTAAAAAGGAAATACCACCCAGAACAATTAAACCAGGTTCTCTAGTCTTGAGATTAAGGTGTTACATGTCTAAGATATTTCCCAGGTGATTCATATGTGCCAGATTTGAAAGCCATTGATTAAAGGGAATGGCAGTGGTATCATAATACCATGCACATTATAAATTATAATGAACCATTCAATCATAACAACATATTATTATTGGCATCACATTATTGACACTCCATGAGTAAATTAATCAAATTAAAAATTACATTTTGGAGGCTATTTAAATTCTCATTAATGTATATTCCACTTAAAGATAAATGAATTTACCAAATAACATCAAGAAGTATTTGCCTTATGAAAGACTTCTTAATTTTTTAAAGAGTTTCTTATTTAAAGAATTTTATATGATTGCCTATTAGAAAGTCACTTATTAAATATTTGCTTAATAAATGTAGCCAAGCTAGGCTTTCGACACATATGATCTTATGTAATCCTTACAAAACCGTATGAGATAAAGATATTAAGGCTTGGAGAGATTAAGCCACTTGCCAACATCACATAACAATTTACAAGCAGAAGTGTCTTAAACAGAGATCATTCTCATTTCAAAGAACATGATTAAGATGAAATAATTTGTTGTTTTAAAATAATGGTTGTTAATGGGAAATATTTTATATTAATGGAGATTCACATTAGACTCAATTCTAAATGACTTTATCTACTTGTTTTTAGTACGTGGTATTAACTTAAAGGGCATTTTATAAACATTTCCCTAATACCAACTCTTTTTTCTTCATATGCAATCTAATATAAATAATTTTGCTTTATGTCCTATGATAGTCTCAATTGTTTTATGATATCTACTATGTATCTGCCTTCCTCACTATCCTGTGCTTTTCTTCGGTGTTATTTAATCCTTGGGTCTTTCTATTACTTTTACACTGTAGACTGTTAATTCAAATCAGTATATATTAATTGAATATATAGATCAGGAGTCAATATTTTTTATCAGTTTTGCCTAGAGAGTTTTTCCTGTAGTCTTCAGAGACTCTGGTTGAGTCCTGGCAGCAAGAGCTTTGAGATGGATCAGAGCTTCTTCATACCTATCTCTTCCTATACTCCTGTCATCCAAATGAAAAGCAGAAAGACATTTGTTACTATACAAGTTTCAGTTTTCTTCCCTACTTTTTATGTTCCACCCCTCAAATAAAAAAGAGAACATGTTTGCTGTAAAAGAATAACTGATATTATTCTTGGATATAAAATATGAATATCTATATTTGGTTATTTTTTAAAATCTTCAGAGTCAATATATAGGAAGAGATTCTTCAGAACTGGAGAGGATCAATTTCAGAAAATTAAAATACAAAATATAAAACTAAAAGGAAAGTTTTTGTTTTTATGACTGTTTTGATCCTATATATTTAGAGGGAAATTTTACTACATATAAAAAGAACACAGAATGATTATGTGACATAATTGTGCTATAGGAAGTGAAAATACAAGTTTTTCTGCTAAAAATTTAAATCAGTATATGTAAATATGAAGTTTAAATACATTATACAGATACTTATACAATATACTGTGGTATGCACTATATAATAAAAGTCTAATGTGCAAATTGTCCCCTTGACCTGGAGTTCAACCAGGGTACAGCGCTGCCCAGCCAACCACAGAAAGGGAGGCCCCAGCCAGTGTCAGCAGTGACAGGCAGCTGGGGGTAGGGAGGCCCCAGCTGGCAGCCGGCATCCATTAGGTACCCTAACCATGCACAATTTCATGCACTAGGCCTCTAGTATCATAGAAGTATTAACTAAAATTGAGTATGTTAAAGCATATCAATATTAAAATTTTGCTATAAAATTATTTTCCAAAGGCAAATGCAATTATTTGCTATAATTTTCCATATTTTATTCACTAATTAAACATTGATTAATTATGGAGCAATGCCTTGGGTGTGAATATTATGTGATAGTCTTTGTTTACCAAATTAATAATTTAATTTTCTAAGTGAAGAAGTTTACATAGGAGTTGTGCATTGCTAATTAGTACTGGTACTTTAAAATATTTCATAAGTGATTTTGTATGGCTTTCCATCTGCATTTATCCCTGCGAAATGCCCACCACAAATCTTTGCTGCCTTGATTTTTAAGAGCCCGGGTCCAATGCTGAGAGCACTGCTGATTTTAATTTCAAGGCAACCATTTTCATTACAGAATTTTATCTTCTCTATCTATAACTTAAAATGCTTTAATGCCGAGACCAGTTTGGCTCAATGGATAGAGCGTCGGCTTAGGGACTGAAGGGTCCCAGGTTTGATTCCGGTCAAGGGCATGTACCTTGGTTGCGGGCATATCCCTGGTAGGGGGTGTGCAAGAGGCAGCTGATCGATGACTCTCTCTCATTGATGTTTCTAACTCTCTATCTCTCTCCCTTCCTCTCTGTACAAAATCAATAAAATATATTTAAAAAATAAATAAATAAATAAAATAAAATGCTTTAATCATCCTATTTCAGTTTATATATGCATATCATTTTAATTTATTTGAATAAATCCATGATTTTATTCTGTTCAGGACAATTGTTTTTTGTTCCTTTTTTATAGATGTAAATTTTAAGACTTAGTGGTTTAAGGATAATTTTTCTAAACTTTTATTATACTCTTTCCAGTGCTAATATGCTGAAGGCACCCTAAAGTTGGCCCCCAGAGTGTTCCCAGCATTTTCATCAGCTTCATATCACGTTGACTATAGGTTGTGCAGGACAGAATATAAGGAGGTCAAGGTGCTCAAAGGATAGAGGCATATGTGCTCTGGCTGAAACAAGCATGGAAAGCTGCTTGGTTGAATTTGAAGAATGAACAGCATTTCATTAGCTTAAAATTTAGAAAAGGAGGATGCTTCATGCAGAGAAAATAGTTATAACAAAATAGGTGCACAGGGTGTGACAGGTGTGACTAGAAAGTACTATGCACTTTATATAAAAAAGTACTTTCTAAAGTTGGCAAAGGTGGAGGAAGCACTAGAGCTTTTGACTGACGAGCTAATATATAATATTAGACTTATATTAAGATTTAATTGACATTTGTGAAAAGCATCTATTGAGTTGGGTGGGAAGAAATGGTATGGCTTACGTTTGAGCAATATTTTAATGAAAGAATCATAAGACATAGTAATATGACTGACTTGGAGAAAAGTGGAGGACAATTTTAGAGTTTCAAGCTTGGATTATTGAGAAAATGGAAGCAATAGGAAAGAGAGGGGGGGATAGTCAGGAAACGTGTAAGAGAGAAGCACTAATTGGATTTTAAGATATTGTGTCTAGCCAACGTTCGGCAACCAGCAGTCTTCACAGCCTCTACTCTTACAGCACTTGTAATCATGATTTAAATTTGTGTATGAGCAGTTGTCAGATACTGCAGGCAATCTTTGTTCTTGGTGTTAATTTGTTCTTTTAACTTATGTTTCTACAGGAACAATATAAACAGACATTTCCAGCACAGTTAAAGAAACAGGAGTCCTCCAAGAGCCTGAAGAAGGTTATTGCAGCTTTGTCAAACCCTAAAGGAACCTCTAGCTCACCAGCACATCCAAAACAAACACTAGAAAACAACCACCCTAATCCATTCTTGACAAATGCACTTTTAGGTAATCACCAACCAAATGGAGTTATTCAAAGTGTCATTCAAGAAGCTCCTCTAGCACTTACTACCAAAACTAAAATGCAGAGCAAGATTAATGAGAACATTGCTACTGCAAGTAGTACCCCTTTTTCCTCACCTGTAAATTTGAGTACAAGTGGAAGAAGGACCCCTGGCAATCAAACAGCTGTAATGCCCTCTGCCTCTCCCATACTCCATAGTCAAGGAAAGGAAAAAGCAGTTAGCAATAATGTAAATCCAGTAAAAACACATCACTCTCATCCTGCAAAATCTTTAGTGGAACAGTTCAGAGGAACAGATTCAGACATTCCCAGTAGTAAAGATTCTGAAGATTCAAATGAAGACGAAGAGGAAGATGATGAGGAAGAAGATGAGGAAGATGAGGAAGATGACGAATCTGATGACAGCCAATCAGGTTATTTTCTATTTTAAAAATTTAAAGTATTTTAATAAATGCTACATGAACCAAAACATTTTAAAAGAGGTTCTTAAGTCCAGGCTTATAATTATGTCATTCACTATGTTTCACACAGCTATGTATATTTCTGTAGAGAGTTGGTAAAATTTAGGCGTAACTGAAATGGGAAATCCTAAGTAAAATTCTCAGCTTTGTTATTCATTTAGCATTAAACAAATAATACTTTAAAGCGAATATAAATAACGCATGAAAATCATGAAGTTGCTTAATTGTCACTTAATTCAGTGCAACTAATTTATCCCTTTTTGCATCTCTTCTGCTACTTGTTAAAATGTGTCATAGTCATTCAGAAAGTAGCAAAAACCTAAATCCCTATGCATGTCTGTTAGCAATCAGAATGCATTTTAATTTAGTATTCTTCCTGATTTTATTTTTATTCACTTCCTGATTTTGTTTTGTTGTGTGTATTTTTTGTTAGCTTCTTTTTATTTTTCTTCCCCTTAACTTTCCTTCCTGTTCCACAGAAGATTGAAAATATAAGATAGCTTAAATTTTAAATTCAAAGATGAAATATATATGATCAAAGTTTTTGGTCAGCCACAAATCCAATTGTAAATTTGCTAGTCACCAAAATGAATAGGGAAATAGAGTCAATTATACAAGGTAAAGTATCAATGAGGTAAAAATAGCTACTTACTCAGGGCAAGAACATCTTTTCCTGTAATATTTTTTCTGGTGTTCCCATAAACACAACTTTACACAGTAGATAATGACTGTCAATATTAACATCTTTCAAAGACAGCTTTATAATGAACTTTAGTGTAGACCGATAATGCTACACACAACACAATTCCACAAAAGCTGTTGTTCCTGAAGCCATTAAGATACAGTACAAATATCAGTCCTATGTTTATCCAGTTTAATCCAAGAATAGATTTTACATACCTGTAGGAATGGATGTATTTATAGGACGACACTTATAGGACGACATTGCTAGAACAAACTTGAATTATTAAACATTAAATTACCCCCCACAGTTGTGTTAGTAATCCCAGTCTTTTGTGAAGCCTGAGGAGTCCTAACACCTACATAGAATAACTGCAGCCAAAAAATTAGGAATCTCCTTCAGAAAATTGTTTTCTTTCATGTCAAAGTGCAGATGAAAAGGTGATGGCAGTCCTAGTCTTCTCTTTCTCATAGTGAACTACGATTCTTAAGCTATTGCGATCTATTAATTTAAATAATCAATTCGATCCCCTCTACACTTTAGTTTCTCCATTAGATTAAAAGTGACTTAAAGCCACTAGGCAGAACTCATCCTGTGAATAGTGTCATATGAGGGAGAACTATTTTATGAGTAAAATGGATACTTCAATGAAGAATTTTGAGGTTTTATAGCCTGCGAACATTGTACTCAAATAGCTTGCCAGATAGTAATTTTTACATTTATGCTTCAGGAAGATGCTCATTTGAGTTCTTATTCACAGATGCTGGTTCCTGAACTATTCCATTTAGGTACAAACTGCAAATTGTTGGTGATTATCTAGTTATAATATACAAATGCTTCTTTTACTTCCCAGAATCAGATAGTAATTCAGAATCAGATACAGAAGGATCAGAAGAAGATGGTGATGATGATAAAGACCAAGATGAATCAGATAGTGATACTGAAGGAGAGAAAACTTCAATGAAACTGAATAAAACAGCTTCCTCTGTCAAAAGCCCTTCCATCAGTCTCACAGCTCACTCAACACCTCGTAACCTCCACATAGCAAAAGCCCCAGGCTCTGCTCCTGCTGCCTTATGTTCTGAATCCCAGTCACCTGCTTTTCTTGGCACACCTTCTTCCACACTTACTTCAAGTCCACACTCTGGTACCTACACTTTATTTTTATTATTGTAAAGTAAAAGGCAAACCATAGCAAGAATTCTTATTTATACAGTGGTCTCAGGATGATCTCATTGGAATCGAGTGTAGGTTGGCTAAGAAAGATCATCATGTATTTTCAAAGGATATGACCCATTTCCATTTTTATTCTCTGTGCTTACAGTTTTAGAACCTGCTTAATGACAGCTCTTGATTTTGAATACTTTCCTGCTTCTGTGTTTAGTTTATGCTTCTACAACTTAATATTTGATTGACAGTGGACTTTTTTGTACTTTATAAAAATGAGCTCACTTGGTTACTTAAGATTCAATTGCATATCTGCCCAACACATCACCAATCATTTGTATTAGTGAGTAGCATTAATATTCCATTAACACACCACATCTATATTTTTCTATTTGACCTTTATAAACTTCTAGAGGTCTTCATTTAAAAGTTTTTACATTAATATTCAAAAACTATTCTCTATTCTCATTTCAATAGCTAAGAAGATATAGAGGCATATAGTAAAATACTATGTTTTACTTATTTCACTCTTTTCTTGGGAATTTCTAGTTTTGCTTCCATTTGCCAGTATGATATCCAACTAATCAAAATGTATGTATTTGTATTATTTGTGAAACTTGGTCATCATCTATGAAACATTTTTACATGTAATCATAATCTAATTTCTTTGTACTTTAATTAAAGAACCTACTAGAGTTTTTACTATGGATTTATATGAACGTAGACATTATATTATTTTTAAATGTATGAGCCAGCAGTTGGAATTTATCAGCATCTTAAAACTAATTTTCAAAGAAAACAACAGTATATTATTTTCTGAAACTTTACTACTACTTTAGCCATGTTTAAATAATGAAATCAGAGGAACACTGTATATATTTTTACCTTGCCTTGTCTTCTCTTTGGAGAGAAAGACTAGCTTTTGTCATGCAATCCAAAGAAACCCTCTACTTTATACAATGTGTTTTGTTGAACCATCTAAAAATAATGTACAAGTTGCAGAACAACACTAATATTCCAAGCCATTAAGATCTTTTATTTAAAGAGGAGCTTCGAAACTATCAAAAAATTGACATCTGTGTAAACTAGTCTTTTACGTTAACTGGCTGAATTTTCTTGAAGGCACTTCCAAAAGACGAAGAGTAACAGATGAACGTGAACTGCGTATCCCTTTGGAATATGGGTATGGAAAATGAGATTTCCCTTTTTACTTTTCCCACACATATTTATGCATGTTTGATTTCATATTCTACACTATTAATAAGTGAATATACTGTATAGTATTTATTAGAGAAAATCTAGAATGAAAAGCAAGTAAGATGATATATCAGAAAACTGAAATTAAGGGTAACTGCTGTGTTTAGATATGACAGAGCTGTGATGGGGTCATGCATTCAGGTGGGAATATGACTAAAAAAGAAGCAAGAGCAAGTCATTTGGCAAAGGGAAAGGGTGCAATTGAGTGTCAGAGGTTTTGTGAAGATAGAATTTGAGGGCAGGGAAAGCCATTGTAAGACTAAGCGACTTGGCCCAAGTTTTTCTAAAATGGTTTAATTGGAGCTGAGCAGTTGTACACTAAAGTACATGACTCTCTAAGAACAGACAGCAGATTTACTGTCATCCTCTCACTTAAAGCTTTTCGGATGTAAAAAGTCAGTACATATTGACACATGCTATTAATATGTCTCAAAATAATTCCAGTTAAGATTTCTAAAAACTTTAATGGAGTTTCATATTTATAACTTGAGTCTTTGATTAATTTCAGTTGAATTACTTAGCTAAAAATTAAAATAATTTTAATAGTAAATATATCTCAGTTGTATAATCAAAGGGTTTAATATTTGTTTTCTTTGCATTTTTCATGTTTTCTAAAGAGCATGTATTTTTTATTTTTTTAGCTTTTAAAAGTTTTTTAAATTAAGTATGTTATAATTCTCATTTCTGTTATGCATAGCTGGCAGAGAGAGACAAGAATAAGAAACTTTGGAGGGCGCCTTCAAGGAGAAGTAGCATATTATGCTCCATGTGGAAAGAAACTTAGGCAGTACCCTGAAGTAATAAAGGTACATACTTTTCACCAAATAACACACATTTGGTGCCTATTATGCATGCTTATGGAAAAAAAAAGTACACTCCTTTCTCAGATAAGTTCCTTGATGCAAAATGTTGTGTGTTTGGGACTAATGTACTTCACCTAAATTGAGCTCCTATAAATCCATAGCCCCGTGATAGAATACGCAAAACGTTAGTGTTCTGAAGATAGCTATACATCAAAGCTGGGTTGTCATTATTAAAACCTGAAGTGGAAAAATATGTGATTTTTTCAGTATCTCAGCAGAAATGGAATAATGGATATCTCAAGGGACAATTTCAGCTTCAGTGCAAAAATAAGAGTGGGTGACTTCTATGAAGCCAGAGATGGACCGCAGGTATCCACTTTTTAAAAAGTATAGTCTTTGAACCAAAAAAGTAGTACCATAACCTTAATTAAGTAAATTTCACTACACTCTGTTAGTTCATTGATAGAGCTGTACATACTCCTTTGTGGTAAACACTCAACACTCAAACTACTCAGTTTACTGTTTCAGAAGCAAGGAGCTTTGGCATAATAGATGTCTTTTTTCAAACATTTTTATATAAACGTTTTCCTATTTGTTAATTCTGTCAGTAGTTTTACAGGTTATTCAGGTACAAAAGTTTCTGCCTATTCATGTGAAATATAGGAAAGCATTAGTTCCCTGGAAGGTAAACATTTTCTAAAATTTAATTTGAATAGGCAAAATGTGTTATACGTCAGTTCAAAAGAAGACAAATAATGTACATACAGGATTTTTTTTTGGCAATTAATATTTTCTATTGTGAATAGACAGGCTTTTCCTTCTTATCTAACCCTCTAGTTTTCTAGTGCTAGAAATAAAAAAGACCTTACTCATTCTGCAAGAGGCATATTTTGAGAGCTCAAAGATTAAAGAAATTGTCCAAGACTACCCAGCCTCAAACAGGCAGGACATAACTAGAACTTGAGGTTCCTAACAATGTTCTTTTGCGTTCATTGTATAACCTATTTATGGAAATATATTCCATGTTTTTCTGTGTTTTAAATTTTAAAAATTTACATTTCAGATTTACTCTGTCACCAAACAGATTCTCAGAATTTTAGAACCACAGTGGTATTTTGCATACTCCATATATAATGAATCAGTTTTTAGTCACAAAGCATATTAGAAAGTAGTAATAATTTTACTTATAAATTCTTTACATTTGTAATCTTTTGGTTTGTGTTATCAAATCCTTACTGTTTATGCCAAAGATAGCTTCATGATTTTTGGATCAATATATTTTTGTTCTGAGAACAAAGCTAATTGTTGTTCAATACATAACGGATTTTTAGTTTTGTATCAGTGATAATTAGACTTAATCTCTAAAGCCTCATTAGGCAGAGCAGACTGTTCTTTGACATCCATTCACTTTTTATTAAACATAATCAGTGTTTTCCAAATGCATATTGTCTTGCTGAGCGATCATTCCAATCAAGAAAATATGATGAATTACTAAATCCAGAATGTGTTAAGCTGCCAACATTTCAACAGACTGCAGAGGAAAAATAATAGCAATTTTGAGAACACTAATCTCGGTTAAAAAAAAATATATTTGGAGCCCTTGCTCGGGTAGTTCAGTTGGTTGGAGCATCATTCCCATACGTCAGGGTTGTGGGTTGATCCCCATCAGGGTATATACAAAAATCAACCAATTAATGCATAATTAAGTGGAACAACAAATCGATGTTTCGCTCTCTCTTTCCTTTCTCTCTCTCTCCCTCTCTCCCTCTCTCCCTCTCTTCCCCCCCCTCTCTCTTTCTCTCTCTGTCTCTCTCTCTCTTCAATCATTAAAAAAAAATAGTTGGGATTCATTTTAGGTAAATTTTAGAGAACAACAATAAAGGTAAGTAATTAAAAATGTTAATTAGAGATGCACACAGATGTGGAGTCATATACATTTCTATATATGGTATGATCAAGATTATATATTTTTGTTAGAGTATCTATGATGTGCAATAATTTTGATCGGCCTACATTTTGTAGAAGATTTAAAAGATAGTTTTGGACAAAGACAGTGTTACCATATAGTGACGATCTGCATCTGTTTATGATGTTTGTCTTTATACAAGTTGTATAAATGTCACAATGCTATATATAGGGTAGGGCAAAAGTAGGTTTACAGTTTTGAGTATGTGAAGCACAGTTTATTCTTATATTATTTATTAATTACTGTATTACTTTTCCATATGAGCAGCTGTAAACCTACTTTTGCCCCACTTTATAGATTGAAAACAAAACTATGCATATTGAAAGACTGGAAGAAAATGCCTCAGAAGTTTAATGATGGTTATAATGGTTGATGGTACAATAGATCCTTTTCTTTCCTATGCTATTTCATTTCATATTTTCTAAAATTTGCTTGTATTGCATATATAACCTTAAAAAACATTTTTTATTTAAAAATAAGTATTTCTGTCCCTTATAATCCAATAAAGCTAATCTTTCAGTTTTCCAAAATCATGGAGATCGTAAACAATGATTTTAAATACTACTGTTACAGTTTTCCAAGCTTCCTATGTTTTTGGCAGTGTTTAATAGCAAATGAAATGCTGTATTTGGAGACTCATTAGTATCCTTAATCACTCTCCTAACAAAACATTTGCATTGAAAAATATAATTTGTCCGTAGTATTTTTTTATTTTAAAACATACCAAAAAAAACCCCACCAGTATTTGTCCTATAACTCCTAATTTTGTTTAAAGCACTTAAAAAATTACAACAGCCCTGACCCGTTTGGCTCAGTGGATAGAGCATCAGCCTGTGGACTGAAAGGTCCCAGGTTTGATTTTAGTCAAGGGCATGCACCTTGGTTGTGGGCTCATCCCCACTGGGGGATGTGCAGAAGGCCCCTGATCGATGTTTCTCTCTTATCGATGTTTCTAGCTCTCCCTTCCTCTCTGTAAAAAAATCAATAAAATATATATTTTTTAAATTACAACAGTGGTGTTTCAAAACTCTCTATTTTACAAATAGATGTTGGAAGATGATAATTTCTGCTACAAGATAATATCTGTAGTAGGGAACCATGGTTATTTTGTACAAGTTAATCATTTTTGACAATATATTTCTGAGCTTAAGAAAGTAATTATACATATGTTTATTAACAAAAATGTGTTGAAAATATTGGCTAACTTAGTATAGCGTACAATAATATTAGAAGTAGAGTATGAGAGCTCAAATTTATTGAAATTTAAGTAAAGTTATCATTAACTACATGACAACAATCTAATGATTACCTTTAAAAATTATAAAGAAGAAAAGCCCTTAAATTCAAGTAAATAGATAAGATTGACCCAATTAATGGGGGATGTGGCTTTAATCTACTCATTGTCAATTTTATTTATTTTAGTCTACAAATGTGGAAAGGATTTGTAGAATCAGCTACTTGTCACTATCTACTTATCCTTAGACAGCAAACACTTTCTACCAGTTTCTATAGAAACCAAGATTTTAGGGATGATAACTTTCATGGAACAAAATGAACTATAACTGTACTCTTTATAAGTCTATGCTATACTGGCTGGCTACCTGCTAATGTAAAGGTGTAAGATAGATTTCTTACAGACTTCTACATCACATTATAATGAACTTGCTGAACCTAATTTTTATCTTTGTTTTTCATTTTATTTTGTCTTTGGGAATCAGAATAATAGAAAGTAAGGTTGAGCAAGACACATTTTGGTAAATAATAGGATTATTTTTAATTACATAAATATAAATAGGTAAAAAGGTATTCACATTTTTGTTACGGATATATGATGGCTTCAAAATAAATTAATGACAAAGGTTACCTAAGCATATGATAATCTCTGAAAAGCATTTTTGTGAATTGTAAAGAAAAAAAATTTAAGCATAAATATAACAATCATATTTATTTTTTTCAACCAGGAAGTTCACAAGCATTGAGTTGTGAATACCTTCTGTGTTCAGGCTAAAATGCAAAGATAAAGAAATATACAAAGAAGAAAGGAGTTAAAAGTGACTGAGAAAATGTTGCTTTTTCTATTTGAGAAGTTTTTTTTATTTTTATTTTTAAAAAGGTATTTCTTTTTAATGGCAGAAGGCCATGAGAATAGAAAAATGTCTATAAGTCTTATTGAAAGAGCCTCTTTTCTTAGTCACTTAATCAGTAAATATTTCTGGCAAATACTTAATGTGCCAGACATATTTTTTCCCAAATAAATTTTCCCTAAAGGCATTTTCCATAAAGAAAATTGTAAACACATTTCACTACAGAAATGAACTTGAAAGCCTGACTCTGAGGGAAAATTAGTCTTCATACAGAAACTGAAGAGTACAAAAGCAAGAGAAATTTGATCACTGACTTAGAGGAGCTCATTGTTTGGAGAAATAAAGCACTAAGCACAATGCTGTCCAGATAAAATCAGAATTTTGTTAATGAGGAATAAAGGAAGATTTCACAATAAAGCAAGCAACACATGATGTTGGGCAAGGTTGAAAAGCTGGTAATTATTTCAATAAGTGAAGAACGAAAGGTTGGAAGTCAACAACCAGGGTTCTAATTCAACTCTGCTGTTAACTGTCACACCTAATGCAACATAGCCGTGTGCACAGAGTGGCTCTGAGAACATGAGCGATCACTACCAGAAATCTAAAAGTCTGGAAATTCATGTCACTAATCTACCAGGTAGGATTTTTATGGCCAGGCATAGGCCTATAGTAGGAGGCCAGGTGTATGAATCCAAGTGTGGCGCTAAGGAAGTATTTTTGAAAGTCATAACTATTAGTTGGTAGCCTACTACAAGTAACTGGAAAGCACAGCCAGCATTGTGGAAATAATTTCTACACAGCTTTTAAGAGTTGACATCCATCTCTCAGCATAGATGGCTGTTCTACTGTTTCACATCTTTAAAGTGCTTTCAGTATATGATATTAATAAACTATATGATTAGAATAAATTAAGAATCCTTAATGCTGTAAAGTTTATGTCACTTAAAACTCAC